TTTTTTTAACATCCGATCTTACAGCAAATCCCACCTCCCCTCTCCTGTTGCGGCCACCCCGCCCCCACCGTCATCTCGCGGGCTCCCCAGTGGTCTCCCCATGCCGCCCTCACCACCCTTTCACACACTCGGTCTGTGCTCAGCTCCGCCGCCAGTGAAAACCTAGGGCAGCTCAAGTCTCTGTCCCCCGACTCCCGCTGTGACCAAAACTCTGGGCGAGTGGCTTTAGCAAGCATGTTTATTATTTTCTTGACAGTTTTGCAAGTCCAGCCAGATGCAAGGGCACCAACTCTAGTCCGGGGTGGCGGCCTCTTTCCCTGCGCCAGGGCTTGCTGGCTCAATCTGCTTCTTCATAGCTCCAGAGACCGAGAGGTGCCCTCCCCTGAGAGCATCTCATTCACAAAGAAAACCCTCCCCAGGTGGGACAGCAACCTCAGCTGTCAGGGTTTGAGTTTACAGCACACGGGTTGGGAGCCCAGGGCCCACACCGAATTTGACCTGGTGACTGAAGACGGTGTCATTTTTGTGACTCCCGTTTCGCTCGGGGTCAGGGCAGGCGGCTTCCAGCCACACTGGCCTCCTTGCTGTTCCGTCATGCCGACACCACCCTCCCTCTCCCCGTGTCCACTCTGCTAGCTTCTGCCCATCCATTTGCTCTGGAATGTCGGCTCCTGAGAGCGGGGCTCATCCGTTCTCACGAACCCCCTCCCTCAATGGCCCCATTCTCCGAGGACCTCACAGCATGCGTGTGTCCAGGGCGGAGACGGCTTCTAGAACTGCTAGGGAACCAGTTTCCTCTGGATACAATGGGTCGCTATGCCCCCCTGGCCAAGCATTTTTGAAGATGAAAAGGCGCCACGGGGTAAAGCCCTTAGCACCAAGCTTAATCCTGTGGACATCTGTAAGCATGGTGAATCCATCCGTCTATTCATTTATCCACCCACTGAGCTCAGCATGAACTCAGTTCCCCAAATGCTATGCCGGGGAATCCGGGAGCACACCCCGGGGACCTCCCCTGCCTCTGGGTGGGACTCCAGAGCTCAGAGGTGCCCCGGATCTACAGACATGTGCACAGGGCAGCACAGCACAGTGGCAGAGAGCGTGGGTGCCCGAGCCCTCTGCTGGAGTTCAAATCTGACTCAGTTTGCCCATCTGGAAAAGGGGCCTGTGGTCCTGCTGAGACATCTGGCTCACAGTTGTGCTTTCCAGGATGCAGGGGGCACAGGTTACCCAGTAAGACAACAGCCCAAAGCCTTGATCAAGGAAGGTCTGAAGTAGGGAGTTTCTGGGAGGCTCCTTGGCTCCCGGGGAGCCCTCGTGCAGTGGTGAATGCAGCCAGCGGCCAGCTGAAAGGTGGGTCAGAACCCGTCAGCTGCTCTGCTGGAGAGAGATGCGGCCGTGTGCCGCTGAAAGACTTGGGCGCTGTTGAGTTGGTCCCAACTCAGAGCAAGCCTGTGCACAAAGAAGGAGACGCAGCCCGGTCCTGTGCCGTCCTCGGACTGCT